GCATCGTATAGGCCACCGGAATTTTCTCCTGAGTTATTCTTTGACCAAATGACGACTATAATCAAACAGCTTGAGCACGAGTCAAAAGATATATTTATCTTCGGTGATTTAAACTGTGACTTATTAAGTGACAGGTCTCACAGGGCAACTTCGCTTTTAAATTCATTTGCGCAAATTTATCAGCTTCAGCAACTTATTGACGAACCTACAAGATGCAGTGCAAGCACCAGAACATTAATTGATGTTGTTTACACAAATTGTCCTAGTAAAGTGGCTGCATCTGGTGTTATACGCTTAGGAATAAGTGACCATGATCTTGTTTATGCCATACGGAAAGTAGCTATAAAGCCCATGATGAACAAACGTTTGCATAAAGTGGTCAATATAAGAAATATGAAAAATTTTAATGTTGATAGCTTTATAAATGACCTAAGTAATCTTCCCTGGTCAAAGTTAGATTGTCTTTTAAATGTTAACGACCGGTGGGATTTATGGAAAAATATATTCATGACTGTAGTAGATAAACATGCGAGTACGAAATAAAAACAATCCTTGGATGACTCCTGAATTAAAAACACTTTTGATAAATCGTGACAAACTAAAAAGAAAAGCGGTGATTTCTAATGATACAGATAATTGGCTTCAATTTAAACTTGCCCGAAATAAGTGTAATAATATGCTGAAAGAAGCAAAAAGAGATTACTATCACCGGTTGATTGCAGTCAACAAAGGAAATACCAAAGAAATTTGGAATACAATAAATGAGCTAATGTCGCGAAGCTCGAAATCTCAAAATATTTCTTCTCTTTTAATAAACAAAAAAGTTGTCACAAACAATACTGAAATAGCTGAATGTTTAAACCAATATTTTGCTGAAATAGGGTCCAAATTAACAAACAACGTATCACCATCTACCAATGGCAAAGCTTTTCATCATTATGTGCAACCAGCTGCCACTGGAACCAGGGGCGGTCCAGGATTTTTCGTACGTTAGTCAAAGTTTTCGGATGTACAATCTAGTTTTGCGGGCGGCGAATGCGCGAGGCACCTAGGGAGATCTGTCCCCCAGGAATTTTTATATTTTTAAACCTCCGAAACGCAATTTCCATCACTCTGAATGCAGCTTCAACAAAAAATTAACTTCATGAAATGGGAGATAATTATAGCAACTATCAGTCTGACTGACTCTCACAACTCGCTCCTTATAGGGAAAAGTAAAGGAGAAGTACTTGCAGAAATGTGATAATTGTGGAAGATGTTTCATTTTATCAAATTACGGATTGCTATAGTATTATGTTTAACTATCTCATGATAGTACTACACTCATTTTTTTTGCCTAATAGCCTTGTTGAGTCATTGATTACTTGACTAGTAATCACTACAGTGTCATATTACTCAAATAAACATATCAATATTAAAGCCTTAACATTCAGCTATAAAACCTGACTTTTATATCCTATGTACACTGCATAAATGCATTTATATAGGTTATCCTCCATATTAATAGCCTTCTGAGTTCTGACGGACCTTCAACCGCAGAATTACAAATATGCAAATTTAATTGTTGTGTAAATCAAAATTCACAGCTAAATCTAAATCAAGATACGCGTATTCAAGTTACAAGTTCGCTTATAAATATTGTTATGCTGTCTAAAACGAAATAAAATTTACGTATCACATTAAATTTACCTTATTGCACTTCAGAATAAAGATCTCGGCGCCAATACTTCTACTCAAACAGTCAAACTGTAGTTCGTGCTATACACTGCTATTCGTGGCGCTTACGCCGCTTAGCAACTGCTCACTGAATGG